TACTTGCTACATCGTTAGAAGAATGGCATCTACGCTAATATTAGTCTGCTTTTTTCTTATTCCGAGGTCACCGTAGCCACCAGATCCAGTCTGTATCCAGATCAGATGGTCACTGCAGTCACCCGGATCCAGCCCAGATGGTGGATCAGGACCTAGAGATGACCTCTACAGCCCTGAATGTCAGTGGAGACCAGGACAACTAGATGAGCCTCAGAGACAGATCCCCTGTGAAGACCATGTCTCCTAGACGGCCACCGGGACAAGACCACAGGAACCAGTTGAGTCCTCTGCACAATGTGACTTTGCTGCAGCCTGGAACTGAACTGCTGGTTTCGTCTCACCAGAGGCCCCCCAACTGAGCCTGGTTTCTCCCAAGGTTTTTTCTCCATTCTGTCATCGATGGAGTTTTGGTTCTTTGCCGCTGTCGCCTCTGGCTTGCTTAGTTGGGGACACTTCATTCTGAGCTGAATGATGACATAACTGAATTCAATGATGAACTGCCCTTTTGCATTATTGACACACTATTTTCCTATTTAATGCTGTACAGTTGCTTTGACACAATCTGTATTGTTAAAAGTGCTATATAAAATAAAGGTGACTTGAATATACACATAGTCACGCAATGCTGATGTTGTTAACATTAAGAATTTGAGAATAAAGTTTAACAATAATAATAAATTACACGGTTTGATGTGATATGACCTAACCGATCGTTAATCGGAAAAATTCTTATTTGGGTCATATATTCCAAGACGTAGGCTAGAATATGTAGGTGCAAAGTACAATATCCACACCGGTGCGGTGACTGACTGCCACACATACTCAAAATATTAGATTCAGCCACGCTGGAGCACGCCGGAGCACAACCCACGCAAGGAAGATAATTCCGCACACAGCTGCAATTGCAGGTTTTCAAACAGAGATGGCGACAAAGAGGCAAAACTTACAGGCTGCAGCTTTAATGTTAGTTAATAAAAATACTCTTATTCATTGTTCATGTTAGTTCACGATGCATTAAATATGCTAAAGTGTACTTCTTTTTAACAAGGAAACCCAAGGACTGTGTGTACATTTAAAGTGTGCAACATCTTATCACGGTCTAAATCACATTAAAAGATTATAATACTCACGTACACACTTGGTACTGTCTAACCTTGAGCTTAAGAATCTGAAAGCTGTTAAATAACTGTGTAGGTCCTGAAAGACCTGGATACATTATTAAATCAAATCACACATTGTAAATTCTTGCAAAAATATGTGACCTTACCATGGTACCAGATGGTAATACTAAGTAAAACCAAGGACCTGAATGATTTTGCCATATTCAAATGCTATGTTAATTATGTATTATTTGTTAATTATGTTTTTTTAACACATGCAAAAAAAAAAAAAAAAACACAGACACATATTGTATTACATGTTCAAAACGGTATTTTGATGATTTTGCAAACGACATTAAAATAAACAGTTAAAATATGTTTATTAAAAAATCACGGAGGTGTGGGATTCTGTCCTCAAAGTATGTGAGTAGGTAGTTAAGCAGACACACACATACACACACAGAGAGAGAGAAGAACCTCTGAGAGCATCTGGCCGTCTTATGTAAGCGCTGCAGCTCTGTTTATGTCTCTCTGTTCTCATCATGTGTTGCTATGGGTCTGCGGGAACAGTGCAGCGCTGCCACCTGCTGGCCAAACGCAGTACGATGTTTAGCAGCTATGTTATATGGATCGGCGGTTCTTAAATAGCTGTTTCGACTTTCGAGATTACTTCGGATATGAAGAGGCACCGTAAACACAGTACCAAGTGTAATTCAAAAGTAAATATATTTGATTACAAACATCGAAATTAATGTATACTCCTATTACTCTGAAGCGCATATAGGCCCCACAATACTGACAGCTCACATACCTGTCGGTGTCAGCAGAAACTTATCATCAAACCGATTTCTGTAATTATAGCAACCAGGACTGATGCTTTAGATCGAAACAAATTAAAACCACAAAACTTATCAGAGCTATTGCCAATACTTACAAGTGTTTGTACTGTTGATTTCTCTCCAAAATGATGTCACTTCCTGGAGGATGATGTCATAAAGAAACTGGCTTTTGTCAAAGTGATAAAAAAAATAAATAAATTAAAATGTCTATTTTTCAATTTTATAAATGATAATTTTATAACGTTTTAACTAGTTAAAACTTGAATTAAATTAAGTTTTAAATATTTAGATTCATTTGTCCATTTAGAAATACATTTATTTCCATTTTTATGCTTTCTATTTTATTTTTTATAGTATCACTATATATATATATATATCACTAGTAAGTTCATACCAAAAATATATTGTGTTTCAAACATGTATTTATTTTTTTAAAGAAAACCTTGATTATCTCATTTTTCATTTTAGAAGTTCTAGTTTGTAGAAACTTATTAGAAAATTAACTAATTTTCAACTTCAAAAATTGTGTGTTTAATATTTCCCTAAATATATTGAGACATTTAATTTGGGACATGAAATTAATGCAATGCGTAACAGGAAAGACTACAGAAATGGTCTGAATCAACCATTAAGAACAATCGGTTCAGAAAACAAATCAGACATCATGACATGAACATATGAACACATTAGATAATAAAACCAACACAGAAGGTGAATTCCCCATGAAATTAAGTTTAATAGAGTTTAAAAATAAGGCTATGATGCCGTTTTAGCAAACTTTTGACAAGAAAACACCGTAATAATGACAGGCTGTGGCGCACATAGCCAGTCCAGTAAGATTTAAGGGATACAGCGACAACACACACACACACACACACACACACACACACACACACACACACACACACACACACACACAAATGCAGTAATTTCTCAATTGTCTGCACACACATTCGCAGATATTCACACAACCACCCAAAAAGGTGGCGATAAACAAAGTTGAACGAACAAACTGCATTGTACTTAAAAAAATAAATAAAAACATGCATAGCTTAATACAATAAACGTGTATTTCCGAATGACCCATGGAGGTTATGCTGCCTAATACTGTCAACATTATTATTCAGTTCCTTCAACATGAAAACATCGCTTCTTAAAGGTCTGAGATGTAGAACAAAACAATATCGTCCTTGTTCACAAACATGTAAAAAGTTACATTCTGAACCGCAAAGTCCATTATGAAAAATAAATAATTGGAATGGCAACGACAAAGATATAAAGATTCCCTTTATGTATCAGAATTTAAAAGAAACAGAGACCGAATGCGCCCAAACCCGACCCCTTTCCCCATTTACACATAAAAAGTCAAATATCATGTTGCATCTGTTTCAACAGAAATCAAGGTACAATAAAAGTGTCGTAAAGACCAGATACAAAAGGAGCGCAAAACTCTGATTAGAATTAGAAAACTCAACACACTCGAACCCAAGTCTGGGACATACAATACAGACAAAACCGACATTAATTTTCTGAGATGCTTAGTGCTGAAGCAAACAAAACCAAATCTGACACAAGACATATAAATCATTTATTATACAATCCCTGTCAATTTTTTTTATTTAACATTATTTTGTCCATTGCTGTCCATTCAAGAGAATCACAGAACATCGAAAAGCCTTGGCAATGCAAAATATTCGACAACTAGGCTGTTTAGTGTTTGTTATTTGTTCTACGTTTCATCCTTTGGTAAAAGGGCATCTCAACTGCAATAAACTCTACCGCATGTTGTTCTTTACAGAAATCAGGTCCATCTACTGTGTGTTCGGTACGGTCTAAAATTGCCATCAAGCTTTAGCATGAGGGAAGCCCGAATTTATAGAGCTCCGGGGCTCCGTGTAGGAATGATACAGGACTCATGCAAGCGCCAAATACACTCGTACAGACGCACAACACCATGCGTAAAGTGCTGAGACACCGCTTACCAGATCTATGTCCTACAGATAGCAAAAAATAGCTCTCCGAGTTTCTATATACATTAACTACACAATGCTCCCTCTGCCATAGTGCACAGAGAAACCTCTGATCAATTCTGTGAAGAAAAAACACAAAAATCATCTCAAGCAGCTAACATAAAAAAACAGATTTCCCTAAAGTTATATGTTGTAAACTGTTAAAGGAATAGTTGACCCAAAAATGAAAATTTGCTGAAAATGTACTCCTCCTCGGGCCATCCAAGATGTAGATGAGAATATGAAAAGATTTGGAGAATTGTTTTTATCAGCTTTTGTTTTTTTGCAACATTCACTGCAGAGGAGCCATTGGTGAACAAGTGATGTGGTGATGCATTTCTCCAAATCTGTTCTGATGAAGAAACACATCAGGCATTTACATCTTGGATAGCCTGAGGGTGAGTACATTTTTAGCAAATCTTCATTTTTGGGTGAACGATTCGTTTTGTTCCTTCATTTCAACACTGATCTCTTTTCTGTCAATGCCAGATTCATATAAACAATAAAATTAAATAAACATCTAATCGCAAATATTAGAACTCATTGTTATGTAGTATTAAAGGGGTCATATGATGTGATTTAAATTTTTCCTTTCTCTTTGGAGTGTTACAAGCTCTTGGTGCATAAAGAAGATCTGTAAAGTTGCAAACACTAAAGTCTCAAATCCAAAGAGATATTCTTTATAAAAGTTAAGAGTCAGCCACGCCTACCTAAAATGGCTCGTTCTAAACACGCCCCCACATATCTACGTCGCTATGTTGGAAGATTTGCATAACGCAGCCCAAATGTTCATGCAAAGAAAGAAGGCAAAACTTTTATTCTCGCTGTAGTTTTGTTGTTGCCGCCGCCATGTCGTGAATGTGCTGTGTGTTTCGTTGTGAAAGCGAAACTACTTTGTTTGGTCTTCCAAAAGAGGACGATATCCGCTTCGTCATGCCTAGAGCTGATCTGTGCTGAAATAATGTTCTTTTTAGCAGCATCATATGACCCCTTTAAGAACAACACTATTAATAATAATAATAATATCTGTATTAAGAATAGTATGTTGTAAAATAATAAGCCCATGTGGGTTGACCTAGAGTTCTCCGTTGAACCTGCAGCAGTGATTTATCAGTCACTCGCTGCCTAAAGCAACCTGCCAGACTATAACATAACTGCGCTCAGGTTTGGCAGGAGCCGACTGCAGCTTCAAAGTGGGTTCGGCCGATTCATCATCTTCATCTCGTCCCAAACCACCATCCTCATCACCTGAGAGAGAAAAAGAGAGCCCGTATTATCGTGTCCTGTCAGCAGACGACTGATACAGCAACAAATCTTCAGTAGCTTTAAGCAGTTTCTGAATTTCAAAAACTAGAGAACTAAAATGAATAACGTTTTTAAAGGTATGTCTGCAATATTATTGGTTAATATTACTCTTTCCCCACCCATGCAACCTTAAATACATCAGCAGAAAAGTCCATTCAAAGCTTTGATTAAAGATATTGACAACAAATATTTGGTCCTTTAGAATAATCTGCATTCAATTTGTGCATGAATCGTAACCTCAGACAAATATTAAGAACAGAAATAGTGTTAATTTTGATGACTTGATCATATCATCATACTTTATTTTTTCATGTATTTATTAGGCTTGCTGACGGTGATACCGGTGTTAAGCCGCAACACCGGTTACGTCACTTGCCCACCGCGTCACCGACCCCCACCGTCGTTTTGATTTTTTATAGTAATAAAAATCATTTAGTTCAGTAAAAGAAGAGACACTACAATTAAAACTGAACGGGGCTGCTCAATGCAGTTGAACGACAGTTGCATCACAGATCAGATTTCGTTTCTTCTGTCAGGAGAGTGAGTCGAACTGACTGACAAGAAGAGTGGGGTGATTTTGTTAATAAAAGTTCTATGTTTTATATATGCGCTAAAGCGAGTTTGATGTTGTATTTTGTTGGTGCATTCAAGCAATTGATGCCTAACTGCCGCTAATTCGAAAGTGAAAGTAAAATGCGCACGGCGCTTTTAAGCTATTTAAAAGCGAAGGAAAGCGAGGAAAAGGGAAAATTCAAACGAACTAAAAACGAACAATTGCCGCTTTTACAAGCTATTTTAAAAGCTAAGGAAAGCGAGGAAAAGAGGGAACGCCCCCGCGTATTACCTGTGTTGTCACACGTCGATTAACCGGTGGGAAAATTTCCTCACCGTCACAACCCTAGTATTTATATGAGGTTCACTTAAAATGTTAGTAAAGTTTTTTGTGCCAGTTTTTTATTGATAATTTTCCACCACATTTTTCACCCTTAAACTCTGAACATGACCCATGTAAATCTCTACTTTGGACTCAAATGCAAACCCAAAGATGATTAAAAAAAAATCTAGTTTCACATGCAATGCAATTTAACTGCCCTATATTTCATTAACAGCCTCTTTTACATTCAGACAAGTTCAAAATATGATACACCACTGTTCAAAAGTTTTCAAAATATTTTTTCAGAAAAAGAAATTAATACTATTACTTAGCAAAGATGCATTAAATTGTTCAAAAGTGACAGTAAAGACATTTATAATGTTACAAAAGATTTCTATTTCTAATAAACACTGTTCTTTTAAGCTATCTATTCATCAAATAATCCTGAGAAAACATTCCACGCGTTTAACAATAACATTAAGCAACACAGCTGTTTTCAGCATTGATAATAATAATAAATGTTTCTTGATCATCAAATCAGTATATTAGAATGATTTCTGAAGGATCATTCTTACTGAAGCTCTTACCGATCCTGAAGTCGATATATCCCACTCCTCCGCTCATGATGAGCATGCTCTTGCCGTCCGAGTTCTCAGTCGTACCTTCAGCTCCTGGCACAATAACCTGACCTGAAGCACAACATTAACACATTAGCACAGATTTGCACTTCACCAGTCATTATATCAAACACCACCGCTTTAAAACAATATGCTAAACACATTCTGTAGAAGCCATGTATACATTTTTATTTAAAAAGGGGTCATATGATGTTGCTAAAAATAACATTATTTTGTGTATTTGGTGTAATGCAATGTGTTTATGCGGTTTAAGGTAAAAAAAACACATTTTCCACATAATGTACATTATTGTTTCTCCTCTATGCCCCGCCTTTC